TTGCCCAGAGAAAGAGATCTTTAATTTTATACACAGAAACCATACAGCTACASAAAATAAATTTAACTTGCAGAATACCCTTTAACTTTTCAAGAATCTTTCTCCTGAGGGAAAAAAAAATCTTTCCCTGGGGAAGATTATGGAAATGCTGTTGGCAATGTCTGGAAATATCTTTGAAAGCTTTGCTGTGCCAGTCCATGAAGACAGTGGAAATGAAACAAAGGGGAGGGAGACTGATTTGTCTTTAAAACAAATAAATTTGGACCTTTGTCTCAGAACTGATCAGAAACAAAAAATGGATTGCTGTATGAAGTGCATTCCCTTCGTGGTTTACCCACAAGAAATGTGTTTTTCCTGGAAAAAGCTGCTAGGCAGCTGGCAGAGGATGCCAAGTGTTCAGGTTTTTAGGAGAGGAACCACATCTCTGGTCAGTCTGGTAGAAAGGGCTCAGCCAGGTGTAAAAGCAGTTTTTCTACCATTTACTTTCCAGGTACTTTCTTCTTCACAAAATTCAGAGCATTCTCCTACTACTATGGATTAAAACAAAAAAAAAAATAAACTAAATTTTTGGTCCCAAAATTATCCAGTGTGGAGAATGGATAAGAATGAATGAAGATAAGTATTTACCAATCTTGAGTGATTTTTGATCGTTTGGATGTGCAATGTAAAACATCTTGCAAAGGAAAGAATTCATTCATATTGCTTGTGCTTATGACAATTTTGAAGAATATACTACCTTGAGAATATAATTTCAGTGCTTATCCTGAAAAAACAGGGCCTCCTACACATCCTGAAACTCTGAAAGTTAACTGGGACAGAGGGGAAAAATTCCAAATATTTTACAAAACAGTTCAATTGAAGTTGTGGTAATGCTGTGTCACTTGTAGGAAGAAATCAAGATACAGAAGAAAACCAACAGCAGGAGCTTCAGTTTTGTGACAGAGGCATGTTCACTGCTGAATTAACAAGGTATAACAGGAATAGGGTAAAAAAAAAGTGTTTAAATCAGACCTGTTTCTATCCAGACTTGAGGRATAACCTGTTAAAGTAACAGCAGCACTGTTTCGTATTTCAATTGTGCACCAGGACCACACCAGAGCTGTGCAGGGTGTCCTCTGCTGCTTGGGTCCTCCTTGACTTTCACCTTCACGTGTTCCTGGAGCTAAAGCCAGCCTGAAACTCTTGCCTGATGGCGCTAGAAAGCCTTTTAAAATAAAGTATTCACTTTGTAGGCCCATGACACACGCACAGGCAGCACAACTACGAGCACGCCTGAATTTGGGGGCAGATTCCACCACACACAACTGTTATGCCATTTTCATGTCATCATAACCATGTTAAATCAAAGCCAACTGAYGGCACTGCTGAAAGGCTGAGAAGCCCCACAGCAAAAGCATCTTTACATTTGGGAAGTGTTAATGTGCCATGTAAACGTTTTGCCTTCCAAAGCCACCACACAGACCAGAATGCCAAAAGTAATTAGTACAATATGTACAGAAACACACAGAGACACACGGACAGAATATTCTCCAGTGGATTTTTAGTGAGTGTAACCACAGTGCTGGGAGATACAGGCTGAGGGGAGATTCCCTTTCACAAATGGGGTTGGAAGTAGATCATCTTTAAGGTCCCTTTCAATCCCAACCAGTCAATGAAATATTTTCCTGTTTTACATGAGAAAATCTGCTGTGTGGGGACAGTGAATGAACATTGCCTTTTTAGCCAGAGGTTTGAAGATGATAATAAAATGTTTTTTTAAAATTTTGGTTTTTATGTGACATGCCGATGGGAAGGGCATGAGAAAGAGGGAAATATGTGTAATTTCAGCATCACAGCTACGCAAATGACATTGCACAAACAGACTCCTACTCCCCAGCTCCCACCCTGACAGAGCTCAGTGGTCACCCACAGGAAGGAGTAAATAAAGTAGTAAATTCTGTAGAACAGGAACTATCAGCTTAATGACTTATCGCTTTCCTCCAGGGCAGTGGGGTGAGGGGAGTGCACTGGTGGAACACAGGGGCTGGAASAGCTCCTCCAAAGATCATCCTCCAGCAGCTGGCACCTTCCCTGCTGGGCTGGGGAAGAGCTGTGGCATTTCAGCACGTAAATRCCCACAAACACAATGTTAAGGCAAGAGTTAGAAAATAAAACCCAGCTCTGTGCAGCCACKGAGCTCAGTGCAGCCTTTGTGCAGACGGGCAAGAAAACGACACGTAAAGCTGCAGAAAAACTGAACTAAAAACCAAGGCATGTTTAAGAAGAAATAGTCCTAATTAATAGTAATGGAACAATATATGGAGGGAAAAGCCTTGCTTCTGGACCTCTGTAGAAGGTGAGGTCTACAAATATTCTTGTATTTATTTGTGAAACAAGACAAGGGGACACACACAAGCCCACACAGTCAGAACAAGAGTTGCTCTTTGCCCAGCACAGGAACATGACCTGTGCCCTGCCCTCACTCACTGCTTGCCCTGTTCCAGCATCTCCAGGGTGCTACCTGGCACAAGRGAGCAGCAGCAGGAATAGGGTCATGACTCCTGCTAATTATGGGGCATCCAACCCCACACATGGAGTTTGGCATCAACAGGCAGAGCAAAGCCACRAGTACAAGCATTCTCATTATTTTCACAGGTCAGATTTCTCACTGGCTGCAAGCAATTAAAAATACATCTAAGTAATGATGCAAAACCCGGTTTTTCTATTAACAGAACAACTGAATAAACTGGGAGGGAATAAAAAGTCTGCCTTGTATTGCAGGACTAAGCAATACCTCTGGAGTTAAAAATGGCATTGCACAGTTGTTAAGCAATGATGGGTCAGCCTGAACTCCTCCAGAGGCTGSATTTAGTCATCTACAAAAAGCCCCTTCGCATCAGCACCACCAGTCAGTGGTCACATCTTCCATTTCCTGTTTCCTCAAAGTGGGTCACGAGTTTTCCCTCAGCTCTGCTCCCTCCCAAGGCAGGGGCTCACAGTGACTTTGTCATCAGAACGCAGGGAATCGAGCATTGTGTTATGCACAAAGAAAAAGACATTTTCTTTTTTTTTTTTTGTCTCAGGGCATTTATTATTTTATCAGGCTGAAATACAATGCCCYTTTTCAGCAGGAGAATAATTGACAAATGCTTTATTTCCCCATTCACTGCCTCAAAGCKGGAACCAGTTAAAATGTGCCTGAAAGAAATCCTCTTAAGCTGTCAGGACCTGCTATTTTTACTGTTGAATTTCAAACTATTAACATGCCTGTTCCTTAAAGGAAAATGATGAGCAAAACACGTTTTTGTTTTTTTTTTTTTTGCCCAGTAGCACTTACCTTAAACACAGACTCAGCAAAGCAGCATGGCCTTTTTATCACTCTGCCTGGCCCATGGAAAAGCCTATTGCAAATGTTCACGGTATAAACTGATAAATGCACTGCAATTCCCATTAAAAGATGTGTTTAGGATCCACACATGTGGCTCATCTTTCCCTGCCAGAAGGTTTTTTGCTATCATATTAGTGATGATTATTAATTAGGGACATTTAGTGTCTTTCTTAAAAATACCCAAACTAACAAAAAATACACTTGTATTCTAGTAAACAATAAGAGCAGAGTACAAAAATCCCCGCCATAGTTACAGATTATTTTTGCTGTCTGACACTGATGCAGACAAAAAAAATGTCACACTTTGGAGCTCATTAAAGATTCTAAGTAATCTGACAGATATGCTCCTATAGAATGATATGAGAGAACAATAAATGAGTGAAAGAATGATAATGGCTTGGGGTTTGTACGTATCATTACATAATTTTTTTTTTTTTTTTTGCAGCGGAACTGGTAACATTGTGGTTTTGACAAAAAAAATGTCACACTTTGGAGCTCATTAAAGATTCTAAGTAATCTGACAGATATGCTCCTATAGAATGATATGAGAGAACAATAAATGAGTGAAAGAATGATAATGGCTTGGGGTTTGTACATATCATTACATAATTTTTTTTTTTTTTTTTGCAGCGGAACTGGTAACATTGTGGTTTTCACAAAAAGATACAAATATTGCAGGAACCTGAACACCAAGGTTTTGTGACAAGCGAATTTGAAGAAGAGCTTCTCCGCTGTGCCATGCACTATTTAAAAGGGCTGCATCGATCTAACAACCTTCAGAGTGCCAAGTCAAAAACCAGCAGAGGCAAGAATGAATTATAAGCAAGAATGAATTATAAGCAAGCAGACCCTCAAGGTGCAGGTGTTTCCTCTGCCCTGCCACATGGGTCTTGCTAATCCCCTCTCATGACACTGGGGAGGTTTTTCCACTGGCCTGAAAYACGCTGTGGAAAACAGGATTCACAYGGAGGGCTGGAGCAGAAAAGCACATGCCGTGTGTCCTCATGACCTGCCACAGCCTGTGGAAATCAGCGTGTGCACCAGAGCATGAACAGTGACTGAAATATTTCATGCCCACGTGGCTGCTGCTTGGCTTCCCTGTGCTTCAGAAATGGGTAAGGAATGCCTGTGACCGGAGTCACAAATCCTATGAAGCTAYATCTGACGGGAAAAATTWWAAAAAATGTGTTTTCCCACAGTTTTTAGTTCATACTCCCAGTTTCAAATGAAACTTCTGAGTATTTCTGCCTATACCACCTCTGCTGATATTGAGAAATATCTTTGCTCACATCTCACATTCTTAATAGGGAAAAAAAACCCTCAGGGTTCATCAGGAATTAGGTTGCCAAATGTTTTAGSATTGCTGGAAAGTACAGAGGAGAAATATAAATAGGTTAAAACGCAAGAAGAATAATGTTTGCTCACTCAGGCTTTCAGCACATACCAAGGACAACAGAATTCTAAAAGAGAGGAGAGGAAAAGGAAACACAAGCAAGCTTTGACCAGATGCCAGTCCAAAAACAGCCACAATCACACTGACCACTGACAAAAATCCCACAGGGAGCCGAATCCCTTCTGCTTCCCCACATTGGAGCAGAGACTCTCCATCTCCCCCACAGTGACCCACTGTTACCTGTGGCATCAAAAATGATGGGCTGGCAGTTCCTGTTGGAGTTCCAGTTACATTTGAGCACCTGCCCTCCCTCCACGATGTTGTGCTGGGTAGTGTTTGCTTTTGGAGCTCCCACCAGGAGAAACGTCCTGCAGGGAAAAAATGAAACAAAATGAAGGTTTCACGAGTCTTGTCCATTCTAATCTAAATTCAGTTAAAGAGAAATTAATATGAGGTTCTCCTTTCTGCAAGAAAAAGCATGCCATAAAACCCCCATTTACCAAAAAGCAGAGGTAAAAGAAGATATGATAAAACCAAAATATCCAGGCCTACCTAGGCTCATATTTTAAATGAGATAAACTTTTCTTTTTTTCCTTTTAAAAATGTGTACRTGTGCAGCAGAACAGGAAATTGTGTAGTTCTGTAACTTACGAAAGYCCTCGACTGACATAATTTCTGGTTAATTTAGTGCGTAAGGGCAATTCAAAAAAGCCGGTCAAAAATGGAAACAATGTGTAAACACAAGAGAGGCGCACTCTGAGCTCAGCGTGTGCTGAACGTGATAAATCAGCCCTGCCTTAGAGGGCTCTTGCGAAAACAACCTCTGAGAACGGAGGATTCTCACTCATCCCAGCTCTGCATGTTAATGAATCATCACCCGAATTCACTGCACTCATCGTTTTCTTATCAGCAGCTGCTGCGCTTTTTGCATCTCTGCCTCTACAGACACGTTCAGGGCACTCGGAGCAGGAGCTGCCACCGGGCTGTGACAGCACAGGTGGCAAAATTCAGAAGCTGCAAAGTGAGAAACAGATGGAACAAGGCTCTTGGCTTCCTCCAACACCTTCCAGGAACCCCAGCATCTCTGAGATGCACTTGGCTCATCAGCACCTGACTGAGGAGGTCAATTTGAAGCACAAAGTCATGYTTAGAAGACATAAAATCAAATACTTCCTTTCATTCTGCTCTGTTGCTTGCTTTTAGATTGCTTAAGAGAGAATGCAGCCTGCAGGAGCAAGCCTTGTCGGGAATTTGGCTCTTTGGATTTGAAACTGGGTTAGCTGAACAAGCTGCAGGACTGGTTGGAGGGAATGTCCACAGGCGGGCAAATCCAGGCTTATCAAACTTGCTCTGGTTTTCAGAGTCATCTCCAGACTCCTCTTTAGTTAGAGAAAAGACAGGTATAAACATAGAGCACCTCATCAAAGCTCAATGCATATGAAAACCAGCATAAGCTAGCAATTTTCAACTGATGTGAATTTCAGAGCCTTCAAAATACCCCTGGCATGGACCCTGATAGAGGATCCAGGCCAGTTGGCAATCCGTTTGTTTTCTTTAGGTGCCATTCATAGACCATCTAGATTGCTAGAACAGGAATTTGAAACAYTTTAATCAACTTAAAATGAACTCTCTGGGCGGAACAGAAGTGCTTAAAAATAAACATCATAATATCTAGTAAAGAAACACTTCAACTACTATAATTACAATCAAACAAGTGGTAGCTTGCCTCTCATTTTACTCTTGTACCACCGACTTTTGAGAAGTCCCCCAAAAGCTTATTTTAAAAATCTAACCATTTCCATTCTAATACTGTATTTTAAATTTTTCTTAAGCTAATATTTGTGATGAAGTTTATTAAAAAGATTACAAATAAAGGAAACATTCTGAGACTCCACAAAGTTTAGTCACCTCTTTTCCCAAACAAAAAAAAAATGCATTTCTATCATCAAAGACCAGGCAAGAAGATTTTGTCATAGGTCTTATATTAATATACAAAWTACCCAAATACTAAGAAGTCTGTAGTCCACACAGTTTGGGAAAGAGGGGATAGAYGGACAATTGTTGTTTCCATGGGAATACACTGGTTATGCTTTGATACTGCCAATTTCCTAGATCATGTAATCTTCACACGGCTGGGGGGTTAAGGCTGGGAATGTTCCAGCAGCTCTGGTGTTCCTACAGGAACAGCCACTTCCCAGGGCTTTCTGTGGCCAACAAAGCAAAACTGGGGCTTCCATGTAGGTGCACATTGCACTATCAAACGCCATTCCTTTGAAACACAGAGTGGATGTGAAATCCATCTCAGTTGGTGTAGAGCTGTGTTCCATCGCTTCTTGTGAAAGCAGCCCCTGACACAGCACCATCACTTCCACCCCTGGAACAGAACCTTCACTCTGGACTTGAAAATGCACTTTAGTTTGGCATCCACCAGGTCAAAATAGACTGTGAAACAGCAGCTTGAGCATTCAAGGACTAATAGCATGCCTTTGTTGTCAGGCTAGACAATCCAAATAACTTTGGCCCAACTAAACTGACTTAATCTCCAGCATTTGTGTATAGAACAGGTGATAAATAAAGGCTCACGAAAGCAAAAAGAAAGGCATAGGAACCAAGTGACACTCCATATGCCTGAGGACACTGCATACAAGAATTTCTGGCTATTTCAGGAGGCAAAATATCAGTGTCCATAGGCATAAACTGAAAATTTAACACCGCTAGAGCCTGTTCCCATAGAAGTTACATAGCTACTTTGTTTCAATTAAGAATTTAAATAAAAAAAATAAAGTGTTTAGCTTAATAGGTACAAACTAACTTTTAGCGACAACAAAAAAAAACTGAGGAGACAATTCCCTTTCAAATATACAGAAGTTTTTCACACTGCCTGAAAACCACATTGTTTTCTTTCACAGCGGTGCACTTAAGAGGTCAATAGTTCTTATAAAAATAATGGAAAGGGTCCAAAAAGTGATTTCATAGAGAGCTGGGGTCACATAATTCCTTATCAGAAAACACGGAAGAAAGTTTATTATATGCATTTACCAGTCTCTTGATAACGCTGCAGCCACACATGCCGACTTAAAAATAAAGGGCGGGACAAAAATAGAAGCTTTTTTTTCGTTTTAGTACCAAGACTTACCGGATTAAGATAGCAGAGAAAGATGGTGCAACATGTGCAAGTTAAGACAGGATGCCTTCTAACACACGTAGGCAATAAAAAAAATGCAAACAAGGCTAGATGATGCACTGTGAAATGACTTGCTCAATAGCTATATAATTTGCTTATAAAGTTTTATAATCTAAAGACTAAGAGGGAGAGAGAGAATATACCCTCAGCAGGATGAAAAGCCAGTTTTTAAGATGGGAGAGGAGTGGGGATCAAGTGACAAAAGCTGGATGTTATTGTAGCCCGCATTTGGGTACCAGAGCCTGATTTCTTCTGGCAGCACCGAAGCTTCGCAGTTAGCGACACAAGGATTCAAAAGCCTAAAACGCTCCAGCGACTACACACCGCCTAATCTTTAACGTGAAACGGGAACATATTCAGGAAACAGACGCGGAGGGTGCTTGCATGGAAGTTTTCCTTCTCCAGACTCCTCAGCAGCTTGGTGACTCGCACAGACACAGCACAACTCAAACACAGCACTCCCGCAAAGTACACTCGGAGAGAGAACAGCACAACTTCTGAAACGCCAGGGGACACAGCCTCGGGAACCAAAATACCGTAACCACATCTTTTCACGCTGTATTTATCACCACCATTATCCGCACGAGATGAGGCTATTCAGAGAGTCCCACAGCACAAGGTTCATGCCCCTCCGGCCGATCGGGGTGGAGTTGGGCTGCCGGGCTCGGCCCCAGAGCCGCCCCAGCGGGGAAGGGATGCGGAGCAGGGGGCAGGAGCGGCTCCATCCCCGCTCCGGGCCCTCGGCAAAGAGCTCCCGGTCCTTCCCCTCCGGGAACCGCCCGGGCCGCAGCGCTGCCGGCTCGCCCGGGACCGGGGACCGCTCCCGCTGCCCATCCTCGGCAACGCGGGGAGCGGCTCGGCGGGGCAGGACGGGCCGGGGTGGGACGGGCACTTACGAGAACGGGTCGGGAGCGAAGAAGTCCACGGCGAAGCCGAAGTAGCTGCCCGCCGGGCCCGAGTAGACGGCCGGGCGCTCCACGTCCAGGTTGAAGGCGCTGGCCGGGGCCAGCGCGGCGCCCAGCAGCAGCAGCAGCAGCAGCAGCAGCATCCCCGGGAGCGCCATGGCCCGGCCCCCGCTGCTCCGCGGGCGCGGCTCTGCCCGGACCGGGATGGGATGGGATGGGACGGGACGCGCCGGCCCCGCGCCTTTCCCGCGGCGGGCGGGGAGCGCAGCCACTTCCCCTTTCGGGCTGGGACGGGGGCGGCAGGAAGGAGAGGAGGCATCATGTGGTGCCGGGGGCGGGCCCTGCTCTGCTCCGAGCCCGGGCCGCCGCTCTCTTCCGCCGGGAGCGGCACGGCACGGAACCGCCCGGCACGGCACGGCACGGCACGGCACGGCACGGCACGGCACGGCACGGCACGGCACGGCACGGCACGGCACGGCACAGCACTGCCCGGCACGGCTCGGCTCGGGTCGGCTCGGCACGGCACGGGGCCCCGGAGCTGCCCTGCCCCAGGCACGCCACTCTGATCTCTGCCCCGGCCGAAGGCTGGCGGACAAGGAAATTCTCGCCCGTGACGGTGCTGAGGCCCTGGCACAGGATGCTCAGTGATGCTGCGGTTGCCCCATCCCTGGATGTGTCCAAGGCCAGGCTGGTCGGGGCTTGGAGCAACCTGGGATAGTTGAAAGCGTCCCTGACCATGGCAGCGGGGTGAAATGAGGTGCTCTTTAAGGTCCMTTCCAACTCAAATCATTGTACAATTTTATGAAGAAGTGCTAGAAATACGAAGAGGGGGACACATCCGTGTCTGGTCTTAACAAGGCTTTTTTTTGGTGAAGCCTTTCTGAACAAGTCTTTCAGGAAAGCTGTTCAGCAAAGAATGAAGGGAGTGACAGTATGGACTCAGCCATGGAGGTAAAAACCTCCTGATTTTCAAACACATAGGCTRTTAAATGAAATAACTTTAAATCCCAGGGTCTCAGCATCTCCCCAGCCGCAGGAATGCCCAGCAGCAGGTGCAAAACTGAGAAGAGCTGAATCTGCAAATACTCCCGACAGAGGTCTCTGTTACTGTTTCACCCCTGCACTACCTACCCAGGGAAGAAGCATCCATTCCGTATCGTCATTTGCAGTTTGTGGCTTTTGTATCAGCTCTCACTGATAACATTTTAGCACTCTCAGCCCGGCTGAGCCCGCTGCTGTCAAACCCAYGGTAGCCTTGCCCTCATCAGCCAAMATCAGAGCTCAACATGTGCTCGGTACAGCAGCGTCTCAGCTAAAAGAACCCATGCTGAACACCTACAAAGAGGAAATAATTCATATTAATTCAGAACATTCATTTGTACAAAATAACAGGATTGGAGTTTATTGCTACCAAAAGTCGAAACTTTTAGCCTTGCTTTCCTCATGTGAGCAAGATAAAAAGCAGAAGAACAAAAAATGATGTTTCAAGCCTTAAATAAAAGTTAAAAATACCCCATACATATTGACCAAGGGACAGATCCAGCCTAATGCRAATCCTGAAATAAAAACATTTACACAATTAGCAGAGGAAATCCCAAAGAACCAGCAGCTACTCCTGTGTTCCATTCACTTGTTCTTGCTATTAATTAATTATAATTTMTTCAGGAAGCCATCTCAGAAATTCTATTAAGAAAGGGAGTTCCTCTACATAGACTTGATACTTGTTGCTAATTTTCCTAACTTTGCTGCCTCCTCAATAGGTTAAAAGAAAACAACCCAACCAAACAAACACAAACTCCACGTTTTATTATTATTTACTGATTTGTCTCAGAGCTTTTGTACTACAGACCTGATCAAAGCAAAACTGCAGATGAGTTAATAAGTTCCCAAACTCAAGTGAATAGGGCAATAAACTGAAAGAGTGGTTTATGAGTACTTTGATCAGTAAGTCAGTAACTTAGGGAAAAAGGAGGATTTGTTTTCTCTGCCTGATTCTACAACCTCACAAGCAGTGAAGGATAAGTTATTTGTAAGATATTAGAWTTTTTTATCAAGTGATGAGCTGTGGTGCCTTAGGGACTGGCCGWGCAGCACTTCTGCTTGTTGTCAGCACATTGCAAAGCGGAGGAGCAACTCAGACTATACACAGCGTCAGGGCTTACTCATCCCATGTAAAGTCTTCTCTCAAACCCCTTCTTCCCTTGGAGACGATTGCTCTTTGGCAGCTGTCTGGTGCCTCGGGCTGCTCCCCCCGGCTGGGCTGGGTAAGGTGAGGCAGCCTCTCGTTTCGCTGACTCAGCACCGGGCACCCTGCTCCGATCTCAAAGGGGATTTGAGTCACCCTTTGCCAGCGGAAGCGGCGGCGTCGCTGCTGTCTGGCCCCGGTCCAGAACACAGTCGGAGTCTAGACAGTGCCCCGTGTGGCATCACACCCCCAGCCTACACGTGGGAACAGCAAATGAAGTGTACGGGCTTGGGATACGCTGCTCCCCAAAGCCGGGCTTACTGCAAATGAGGAAGGATATTTTCTATTGCAGGAGAGACCGAGCGATTGATTCCATTGCTTGCATTCAGCTTCCCTKCCTGACAGAATCACAGAGGGTTGAAAGCCAAAACCAGACTTTGCTGTCAATGTACAGCAGCAAACAGCCTTCCAGTGAGGATGTGATTTTTCTTTCCTGGTWGGTTTAGGTCTCAGCATGACTAACAAATAGATAAGGAACAGCCAATGAGATCATATTACAGAATGTAAACAAGTTAATGATATGTTTCTATATTTGCCCTTGCTACCTGTAGCTTTCGGTTCTCAGACTAAGATACCCAGTGGTAAAAATCAACAACTAAGGCAGGACTTGGATTCTTTCCAAGACACCAACATTTTTGTCTGTATTCAAAACAGAATGTGATTACTTTGGAGTCTAAAAAATTGATTTCCATTATCCAGCAGATAAAACTAATATTTCTGTTACAAGTTATTGGTCTTGTTAGTTTTCACTCAGACAATGAGTTATTAATGCAGCAGAATAAAACGCGGCAAGATGCAAAGGACTTTTGGTAGACAGGTATTATTTTTTTTTTCTATTCCTGAGTGTCCAGCCTGTAACTATTGGATAGAGTATTTCAGAATGCTTTCCCTTGGCAATTAAGTCTCCACCTCACAACATCAAAGGCAGCAGCAAGAAATGCACAAAGTGCCACAAAGTTTCTAGCGAATTCGGTAGAAACTACAAACGTGTAGAGCACTGTGGCCCKGCTTAAAAGGGTCAGCAAGGGGTTCTGTATGCCAGCAATAAACTTCAGCCTCTGAGTGGATTCAGTGCTTTATAGTACCAGCAACAGGAATATCTGGAGCAAAGAAAGGATCACCACCCATTTGTTCATCGAGACTATTAGTCTCCCAGAAAAGCCTTCACCAATGTGAGAGTTTTAGTAAATATTTTGCTCTTGTAGCATCCAGACACTTGGACTTTTCAAGAGGCTTAGCTGCTATAAACAGACCTTTCAAGAAGTAAATCAGTTTCTAACAGGACAGTAGAAAACAAAACCCAACCTGACCAAAAAATGCACTTCACATGTTAGTTTGGTTTGGTCAGTTGATGCCTTTTATTTCTATTTTGTTTMATATTGTCTTTGATATCCATTTTCTTGCAAAAAATGAAATTAAATCTAAAAAGTATGGACGGATTACAGGGTGAAACATGAGGAAACCACAACAGATATTTAGGCTTGAGTTGCTTTATTGCTCCTATGAGCAATTYATATCAGCCATGTCTCATTCAGTTGTTAGCAAAAGCTGTCCTTAGCCTGGGGCTATAGGGCAATGTTTTCACTGGGACAACAAGGGTATGGCTACATTTATTAAACCAGCTCCCAGCTGAAATCTCAGTCTGAAATCTCCAGTTGAAAAGGAAGTGAGCTGTACCAGGCCTGGTCCTGATTTGTTCAATACTGATAGCTGTATTACTCCAGTGTTAGTCAAAGTCTTTCTGCAATCCCATTTTTGTGTTTTATAGAGTGCTCGTTACTCACCAGGCCTTTTTTTTTTTCACATTAAGATTTCATAGCATCAAATTCAGGGACAGCACTGCTTGATTTACCAAAGGATTCRTATTTCTTCAGTCTGACAAAGTTGGTCATTATAAATCACATGTGACTCAGTTTTTGCTTCACAAAGCACTTCAGAAGATTAGCAAACAAATATTTCCAGATGCTGCTCAGTAACGCCCCCGAAGACTTAAAYATTTTTTAAAATATATATATTTTAAGAGTACTTTTACCCTAGAGAAAAGCTTTGTCAGGAAATAACGTAATAAGGGAGAAATGGATCCAGGAAAAAAAAAAAAAAAAAAAGAGAAATGGATCCAGGAAAAAAAAAAAACCCAAACAACAAGCTCCATAATATTCTCTGCACAATCTCTCTGAAAATATTTTCATAATATGCGTGCATATAGAAAACGTAACAGACAAAAAGATAAATASCACCCTGCTCTGTTAAGGAAGAGGSTGTGGGAACACACCAGCCCAGAGGGAAAAGCCAAGGAAGTCACCACCCTAACCCCAGAAGGAGCAGAGCACCCTCAGATAACCACAGTGACGGTGCTCCAGGAGAGAGCCATGGAGGGATGGGGCTCTTGGGTCTTCTGGTGGGAAAGATGTCAGGAGGGCTTTTTAGAAGGGGATAGGAAGAATTTGCATATCTAGAGTGTGATATAATTGGCCTTCTGCTCCTAGAGTGGGAAAAGATATGAAACATTGACATCAGCAGGCTGTGACCTTGTGTATGGAAGTTCTGTACTTGTGCTTCCCCCATCCCACTGAAACATCCAACCTGTCACAGCCCCCAGGATGGAAAGCTCCAGCTCCCATGGGACTTATCCTGCACTGGGGGCTCCTTCAGAGGCCAATTCCACCACACAGAACTGCACCTGGACCTGCACTTCTTCCTAATCCACCCTTCTTCCTGTATCCAGCAAAGCTTGTAAATACACCACAGCYACAATTAATACAGGAGTGCTAATGTTACACTTAATTAAATGAAGATTCATCCCTCCTATCTCTTCATCGCTCTCTTCTCCATTTCTTTCTTCCTTTCCAGAGGAGGTATGTTGATGCCATGATTTTTAACTCTACCTTTTTATGTTCACAAAGACCCTCTAGAATGTGCTGCTTTTTATGCAGTTCCCTGAAGGTGAGGAAGAAATCATTCCTCTTCCATCTTAGATATATCTTAATATCCTTCCTAAGAACCTTTTCCTTCTTTTGCCTGCCACTGTTTTCCTACTATTTTAAGTACT